TAATGTTTTTTTTTTTCCTTGTACAAATAAACACTCTAATTTTTTTAAATTCTATCTTATTAGCTCTTCCAAAAAAAACCCAATATAATAACGCGGACCACGTGAGCTGTCGTTCTTGTTTAAACAAAAAAATAAAAATAAATAAATAAAATAAAATAACCTTTATAAATATAATAAATGAAATGTAGAAAATGTTTTTTCTCTTTGTTATGAAAATTGTATTTGTATAGCTTTATTTTTGTAATTATTTATCTCAATTCATTTTGTTATGCTATATGATGATCTAAGATGATTGAATAAAATATACCAGAATGAAATGAAGTAGTGGAGGTTCAAATTTCATTGAAACGGCTATATATAATTTAATTGACTAACCGTAATTTTGTTGAAATCAGGAAAAAACAGGAATCTATGTATGCAGATAATACTGAAAACTTACGGGTCTTAATAATATACAAATAAAAAGGCCATAAATTGTTTATAGAAATTGTGCACTTTTGAGTTTGTAAAAATGTTGACCTAATAAGTTTACACGCTTCCAATTTTAACAACGTACAGTACATTGTTTTCACAATAAATTTAGCCTCTGATAACCGTTGCACCAATAAAATCGATGGAGTGTTTTGCTGATATGGTACTAAATGTACAAACAATTGCCTTTTTACTCGGTTTTGGTCCGAAAATACGCACCGAACTTTGAACAGAGCACAAGTTGAACAGACAAAAATCATGACAATGAAGGCCAGTTTATATTTGCAACGATAACGATAACGATAAAAAGCTAAGAAGCAGCGGCACCGCCGTCGAAGACCTCAGACCCCGGTCGGGCAAATCCTGGCGCAACCACTAGATAAATGCTTGAGTTATACCACGGGACATGGTTCTGAAAGGATTTTTTTTTTTTTTTAGATTATTGTGTGTTTTCAGAATTATGTGTCAACGTTTCGATTGAGTTGCTTCAGTCGTCGCCAGGAAAATCTGCAAAAATACCTATTGAAATCACAGGGGCATATGCAGTATCCGGCAATATAATCGACGATTCTGAACTTAATTGGAAAGCTACAGCAGTGTGTAATGGTTTGATTAACCATGCAATAATGCAGGACAGTAATTATGGCAAAAATCAATACATAATTGATGCCAATTTAAATTTACTTGTAGTTGGTTCCACGTATGTCTCGCAATTAAATTAGATATAAAAGTAAAACAATTTCATACGTTGATATTATAGACATCATTTATTTCAAACGAATATTCCTGACATGCCTGTGTCCTTCCTCAAAGTCGTATGAATAAAATACAATCCGAAAAAAACTGTAGGGCATTAAGTGAGATACAATAAAAAAAAATAAATAAATAATAATAATAATAAAAGATAATGGCAACCATGAATAAGTGTGAAATATAATCAATTAATCAATAAACTGTTAGTAACCTTTGACAGTTTATTTGTTTTTAAAAAAAAATATATTTAGACTGTGTACTGTACACATACATATATGTATATACATATATGTATATACATATATATACATACATATATATATATATATATATATATATATATATATATACATATAATGAATAAATGTAGTTGGCAATACTAGCAACGTATAGTGCTCGATACACGTGATAATGCAGAGCGTAAATATTGAACGATCATGAAGGACCATATGAAAATAACCTATAGCATACAATACTGAAAAGTCTGTCTCTTATACACATCTAGATGTGTATAAGAGACAGATATATATGTAACCCTGTGAAATTTTACTTTTTTAAAAGCTTTAAATTTGGTATTATTTGCCACTCTGTAAGGTATAAACATTATTTTATTCCATTTATGTTTTAACTTTGGTATATGTACTGTACTGTATATATTATAGCTGAGGCCACTCAGCGTAAGTGTCCCTGCCATTCTCATTAGTGGTTATGTTTAGGAATTTGTCCTCAGTCGCTAAGGCAAATGTCGGGCAATAGGTGCTATCGGACACCCCACAGTGATAAGGAATTCACTTCTCACTGACCCAGCTTACAAGCAACATCTGTAAGGATTGAGGACCTAATATTTGCCACACCTTATTTGAGAAGTCATACTTTTAACATCTTTTATATTGCGATTTTATCAACCCGGAGAAGTCTTACTTTTACCATTTTATACTGCATTTTATCAATTGTTTATGATTTGACACCTTGGCTCTTTTATAGGTAAGAATCATAATTTCCTGTTTTGTATTTGATTTAATTAGATTTAATGGTAGTTTATCTACAATATGATTTGTAGCTCGTACTAGCTTTCAACGGAACAATTAAGTTGCAGTGTTCCGCTCTTGATTTAGGATTTGCCTAAACAATTTTATAAACTTTTAATTATACTATATTGTTAATTTGCTTATCTTATATTGTAATACCATTTGCAATTGTGCTTGGTAATTTGTATTGTTATGTACAGTAACGTTTTGCAATCACACATTGTCTCCATTTGATAATTCATAAAGTCAGTAAAGTGATTTACTTTATGAAGTTAAATAAGCCTAAATTCTGAGTGTATCAGGACAACTCTGGTGGATATGGGTCATTCACTAGAGGGCATTACATTCACGTTATAGTGGACCTGGAGGCATTGGAGTGCGATTGTAAAATTATTACTAAGATACTTTTAATGTTTTTATCTTTATCTTTATGTTTTATTCTTTAATTTATCATTTTAAAAATGAACGAATGCATTAACCATCTTGATCTTAAGTACGATCATGATATGCAGATAGACGAAGTATATGCCAGTTTTAGTGGAAAATAGGCAGGCATAATATTGGATTTATTAGTAATAATTTATCCGTTAGGTTGCATCTTAGCGAAATTGTATAAAAGTATTAGCATACTTACCTAACCTGAACCTAAGCTATTTATGTAACTATGTTGTTTAATTAATTTGGATGTGTATCCTGAGCTAATCTGTTTTGAACTAGTGTAATGGTGACTGATATAGTAATTGAAACGTTTAACTGATTTTTTGTTTTAATTTTGGTTAATTGCAAGCACTATACAATTTTGGTAGACTAACTGTATTGTACATCATGGAATGTATGTACAAGTATTGATATATTCGTATATTTTATTAGTTTAGATCTTTTAGTTTTAATTGTTTATATTTTCTCTTTTATAGATGAAAACTTAATTTCGGATATTATAATTTTGGATTTAACATGACTATTGGAAAGGACCTGTAATCTTACCAGCAATTGGAAGTGTGGAACTCTTTTCGTACATTGAACTTCTTTTTTTAAACTCTAGGGAAGCACTTGGACAAGAAAGAACAATTTCGCGATCAAGAACTTGCGCAACCTAGATTATATTCATATTGTGAAATCAAATCTCACCAATTCATTTTTTTTTATTTTCAAATAAATACTTAATATATATATTTTAACAAGGCGTCTTCCTGGATTATTATTTATTTGTAATATTGTCCTGGAATATTTGGTTTTCAAGGAAACTCGGGTTACATATATACATATATATACATATATATATATATATATATATATATATATATATATATATGTATATACATACAGACAGAATCTAGAAAACCATCAAGATCAGGAAATAATCTTAATGTACGACAATTTTCCACTGATGATACATTTTAGAATTGGAAAGAGCATAATCATTAATGGCTAATATGATTGAATTAGAGTTCATGAAACTATGTATAGATTTTCTAAGATACTCTTCAAAGGACGGTACACCATTGGATGATCTTATAGCACCTTTGTTATATCTACACCAAAGAGTAGAATACATACTAACACAGTAGCATTTAAACAAATAACTGTAGTATCTACGGAAGTTGAGTTGACCTTTTTGACCTGTGATTGAATATGATTAAAGTTAGTTGTTAGCAGCGTGACCACTCCTTAGGCAATTACCCAAGATCTTGGGTATTTTGACTTCGTCTTGGGTTCTTGGGTATTTCGTTCAAATTCTTGGGTTCCGTTAAAATTCTTGGGTTTTTTATTTTCAAAAAAAAAAAAAAAAAAAAAAAAAATTAGCTCAATATAGTTCAGCCCAGTCAATAATCCTTGTTGATTGCTATAAACATGGAGGAATTGCTAATAAACTAATTCCTCCATGGGTACACCAGCATACCCTACAACCCAACCATGGAGGAGTTAGAACTATTAGAATAGAAATAAAGTTCTAATTCCTCCTACTAACAACCACCTAATAAATATGCATTACATGAAACATTTTTCATTATCCAATCAGATCACAATATTTGTCGCACCACGGGACAGGAAGAAAAGTAATTAACATTTGATTTTTTTTAACGTAGGCCTATTAATCGCACACACATTGTGAACAGAATTCGCTAGCTACCGCCAACAATTTTTATAATTATATTAATGATTATGTTTAGGAAAATGTAAGAAAACTGTAACTTTATTAATTAGTACTGGTAACATGAGGCCTAGTATAAGGCCTACTATAGTATATAACTGAATAATCAATTTTAGACTAACATAATGTTATTGTATTTAGTCGAATTTGAAGTATAAATAATATAAAAAGGGAAACACGTCGTAATTGATTTTCTCAAATTCAATTCTAAAAATATGTAGGCTTATGTTATTTTTTTAAGGATTACCAGTTATGCAAGAGCTTTGAGATATGGCAGAACCCACAAATAAAAAAGTCAAATGGTACAAGCAGGTCTTAAATGATGACTGGCTTAAAGATCCAGAACTTAAAGACTGGGTTGTGAAAGAGGACCACAACACCGTATTGTGCAAGGTGTGCAAAAGCAAATTTGGTACGCCCAACAGGTCTACACTACTGCGACACAAGGACTCTAGTAAGCACAAAAATGAACAAAAAGCAAATAAGAACATTTGCAAATCGGCACATTCTTCAATACGCCTGCCAAAAATTCTGGAGTTGAAGAACAGACAGCAACGTTTGAAGTTTTACTAGCTGGGTTTATGACCGAGCATAGGATGCCCTTTCGGCAGGCCGATCACCTAACAGATGTTATGAAGAGAATGTTCCCTGATAGCGAAATCGCCAAAAAATTAACTATGAAAAGAACAAAGGCTTCATATGTGATGCAGGATGGGATCGCCAGTCATGAGGTAGACTCTTTGGCAGAAATTTGCAGAACACAGAAATTTTCGCTACTCATTGACGAATCAACTGATGTATCGGTGACACAGATTTTAGCAGTAGTGGTTAGGTTCTTTCACAAACGAAAGGTAACTGATGCTCTGCTGGCTGCAGTAGAAGTAGAAGACGGTTCTGCAGAAAGTTTGTACGCCGCTGTGCGAAGTCAATTCCGATGAGCAACATTGTTGGGTTTGCTAGTGACAACTGCGCAACTATGATGGGAGTGAATTCTGGTTTTCAAGCCCGCCTGAAAGAGGATGTTCCAGGTGTGTTTATTCTTGGGTGTGTATGCCACTCGTTTGCACTGTGTGCAAACCATGCAAGCAATCATTTACCATCCTGGTTAGAGGCCTTCGTTAAAGATGTGTGCTGCTATTTTTCACGAAGCAGCAAACGCCAACACCAATTCAGTTTGATCCAAGATGTTGTGAATGCGCCACACCACAAAATAACGAAGCTATCACAGACAAGATGGTTGTCGCGTGGCCAAGTCCTGAAGAGGATAATTGAACAGTGGGGAGCCCTGGAACTCTTTTTCTTACCGGAAGCAAAAAGTAATAACATCGATGGGGCTAGCAAAATCTACGATAGAATGACGTATGTAGGTACCAAGCATATGCTGCTTTTCCTAAGCTATATCATAGCGAAAGTAGACAGACTCAACGTTGAATTTCAAGCAGAGACGTTCAAACTCCACACACTATACAAGTCGGTAGCTGATGAGTACAGAATTATTTTGGCCATGTTTGTCAAAGACGACATCATACAGACAGTTCCGATCAGCGACATAGATCCATCAGATCCACGTGTACATATGCCAATTAAAGATGTCCATGTTGGAGGCAGGTGTCAAACAATGCTTGTAAAGAAGCCACTGCATCAACAAGATGTACGCTTCAGGACTGCAGAGACTTTTTAATCGAGTTGTGCAAACAGATAAAGGCAAGGTTTTCCCTCGAGAGCGATGGAGTGATAGCTCTGCTCGCAGCCCTTCATCCTAAAGAGGCATTATCTAAAAGTAGAACATTAAAATCCATCATTCCACTGGCAAATCACTTCCCGGCAATGGTGGCAGAAGCAGACCTGGATGAACTGGAAAACGAATGGAGGGATATCCTATACATGAAAGACACTCTTGGTTCCACATACAATACAAATTCTCCCACTAAATTCTGAGATGAGGTCGTCATGTAAAAGATGCAAACAATACAGCAAAGTTCAACTTGATTGGCGATTTTATGTGTAACCTTCTCGCATTGCCTCATTCATCCGCTTGTGTGGAACGCATCTTCTCGCAAGTGAACATGATCAAGACACCTCTCACGAACCGACTTCATTCGTCAACTTACAGCTAACAGGATACTGGCGAAACAAGCAATTACCTGAGAAAATGCGTCATGTCACACATGGATACCGCCAAAAATCATTGTGGAAGATGTACAGTCTGGGCGTTGCCATCGAAAATATTTGGAAAGGCAGATTAATTATGAGGAGATTTACTTTGTCTACGATGTATATGATGACCACTAACTCATACATTTAATAATCACTGATATGGTTCAACCACAAGTTTGGTTTTTAATAGTTTAACCATATTTAAAGTACAATATTAATTTTTACAAACACTACTTCAGTATGTAAATTCTAGCCCCGAAACCTAGACTTAGAAATACCGGGATGGTGTCCGGCGGGGAATAGTTTAACCAGTCTACAGATATGTGTAGTCATATTTTTATAAACATTAAACACTACTATTTTAATTCTAGCCCCGAAACCTAGACTCAGAAATACCGGGATGGTGTCCGGCGGGGGATAGTTTTTAACCATTAATGTATATATTGATTGATACAGATTACTGATGATGAATACAATTTATAAGAATTAGAATGATTGATTTTATTTTTTTGAGGTATGCCACACTATGATATGACGATGATGATGATGATGTATTATATAGCAAAAAATGTTCAATCCAGTATAAAGCAAACAAATAGTTGAAGTAAAACATAAACAAGATGGTAATCATCACAAATTATTTATCAATTAAATCAGTGAAAAAGCATAACTGTCTACACTCTACAACATAGCTCATTGATATAAAATAATTTATAACACTGGTGGACAACAGAGGGCGCAATTTTCAGATAATAATAATAATTATAATATTAAATAAACACGAACAATTAAAATAGAAGGGGTTTACATTGGATTTCAAAATAATCTATAAGTGAAAAACACGTTTATTTTTTCATGTTTCATGCATTTTTGGAATCTTGGGTAATTTTGAGCAAATTTTGTGGAATCTTTGGGTATTGCAAAAATTATGTGTGGTCACGCTGGTTGTTAGAGTACCTTACCACCGTGTGTGAGTCGTTGATTGTGCTCCTGTGTTTAATCCGTTATTTAAGGCCGGTTCCCACTGAACGCGATCAAGCGAATTTCGCGTCGAAATGTGGCGCGCGCGGCAAAATCGAAGACGCGACTGGCGTTTCCAATGTGAACATGCAAACGAATTTGTAGTCGAACACGAGAACGCCCAATATTCGAACTTCGACGCGGTGCGCGCGGTGTTCGCGGAGGCTTCGCCTGCGAATTCACAATAGTAGTTCCACGACCAACTTTTTCGGATTCGCGAGCGAATTGGCGGCCGATGGACCAATCGCAAGGCTTAGATTCAATTTATGTCAAAGGTCAACAATAAAGTCACGACCATTGTCGAAAAAATGTAGGCCTACAGATGTGCGAACGATGACCGACGAGTCCGTTTCATGTAAACTCTGTGGAACAGTAGGCTACCCTTGTTTAGGTCTGTGACAAGGGAGCAATTAGAAAATATGTGACAATGCGTAGAAAAGGATTTGCAGAGACGAGTTGACTTATCTCCTCTTTCTACCAGTATTAGGCCTGTCCAGCCTAGGCCTCTGATACCCTGCTACACCTGAGACCTACAGTAGGCTAGGCTATGCTAGGGCTACTATCTACTGCCCTTAGGAGGCTTAGCTCTAGGCCTTGAATAAATATGAACTAAAAAAAAACTATGCTTATATTTACTCTTTTGATTCTTTTGATATATACTCTTAGAGTTATATAGGGAATGTTAATCCTGAGGATTTTTGCACGCGGCCAGCAATGGGAACAGGCAAGCGAATCATTGGAAGCGAGACATTCTTTACCGAAAGTCAACTCTTGTGAACTTTGCGCGATTCGCTTCGCTTGCCGCGTGACGCTCGACGCTTTCGCTTGACAAGTTTAGTGGGAACCAGCCTTTTGTGGTTCAATCCGTATACAATACACTACAAATTGGCGACGAGGATATTTGATTAATTGTAGGAACGAAATTATGGCGACGCAGATTAATACAGATCTAGTAGTCTGGTTGTAAAACTGCTGAAATGAACTTTAGCGGGAAAAAAGTAAAGGAAAATTAATTTTTGGTTTTTCTGAATCAGCATACCCTGTAGTGTACCTAAAATACCCTATTTTAAACTATTTAAGATGGGGGTAGGGGAAATAAATTTATGCTTTTGGTCACTTTTACATACACTGTGGATATGAAATGTAACAACAACTTGGCTAAATAGTTATTCATCACTCTCATTTAAAAATTTGATCGAAATGATGACGTCATCATGATAAATTCCAAGATGGCGTCCATTAAGGTGGTAAAAACTATGTTTTTAATGTAAAAATGTTATCAAAGTACAATATAATCCCAATACAATATTATACATACAGGAATAAAAAAACACACACACATATAATATATATATATATATATATATATATATATAATTAATGAACTACTACAAAGTTAACCCAACGAAAAAACGAAATAGTGAAATTTTGCTTTAACATACCAATTTTTTTAGTCACTTTTATTTTTTTTTCTATAACTGTGAAAACTGACAGGACCTTATTTAAATACTTACCCATTATAGTCGTTCAGTGGTGGCCCCAGGGGGGTCTGATAGGGTGGGTCCAAACACAGGGCCGACTAGACCCTCGGTCAGAGTCCCGGAATAAACTTCCCTGGGCTTATGGGAGAGTTTCTTTTTAGCTTTGTATGGCCCAAAATTTTGCTTTTAAG